TAGAGGCGATGCCCTAGCTTCTCCTCTGCCCACGATAAACAGGTCGTGAGCATCGCTCATTGCTCTAATGGCCGCCACTGTCTCCTCGCCGTTGTTCAACACCTTCTCCGTGTAAGTGACCGACTCGTTGTTCACATTCTTCGTCCTGAATTCGTTTACGAATTCCTCGTCTAGCTGCCTGTCTTTGTCGATTTCTGTTTCCATGGTTAAAGCTGTAGGTTCGTTGTCTTCTGGTTTTGGTTCGACTGCTTCTACTCCGGCGATGAATCTCATTACGGTTAAGCTCACTCCTGGATGCTCTGAAATTCTCCACGCGTATGCTAAAGCTTCTCTGTCGTCTTGTCCGCCGAAGAACAACAAGATTATGTTGTAGTGAGACGCCTTGTTCGATGCGGTTCGAGTGGAGCCATTTAGGCCCCGATCCACTAGGATTCCGACGGAGCAAGGTGCGTTGGATAACACATTTTGGTTTACCAATCTGAATGCTGGATTTGTAGCTTCCATTCCTCCATCGACGGTTTGTTGCTTGTGGAATGGGATGATTATGAAGGCAACGCGTTTGTCCTCGGCTAAATTGCAGATGTCTTCGTGCATTGTGGAGTAGGGGGAAATGGCTGTTAGGGGCTGGACTGAGACGCAATCAACGTGTTGTTCATAGTTCTCGAATGCATTGATGATGTGATCTGATTGAGCCTGGGTTCGATTTAGGGCAGGGCGACCTGATTTTCTGGTGTTGTGGACAATGAGCATGGCGGAGGCTCGTCCTGTGAGTTCCACCAAGTGCAGCACATATATGCAAATTGGGGATCTCTTGGTTGGGTAGGATGCATCAAGGAGGTTGATGATTGTTGGTACGTTTCGAGGTGTGTGGATGCAGACTAGTACTCGGAACTCCGAATCTGGTTTCGATGCTTGAATCGTTCGTTTCTTATATGGTAGAAACCTTCTTGTTGGCCTATAGATTACGGTAACTGCAGGTGTTATGATCCCTGTCATAGTGATAGCTACAATCACCATAATTGTAAATGTCTGATCATCTAGTACCTGCACATACATTTTACATTGATTATTTGGTAAGAAAAGAGAGAAAACTCAACCCAAGTTGTTAAATTTACAGTGAATTTCAAGTCAATATATGTTGCTACTCATGTAATTTAAGGATCTAGGAGGGGAGACAAGTTTAGGAGTGTTTACCTTTTGGTCCTTTCCGACGTTGAGGATGATCATTTCAATGAGGCCTTTGGTGTTCATAAGCAAGCCTAACGTGACGCCTTCACGATACGACATCTGATAACAAATGGAGGCAAGGAGAGTTCCAATGACTTTGCCAATACAAGCAAGGACAGTGATGGATAGAACAGATATCCAAGTGCCAATTCCTTTTATGGCAGATACATTAGTCTTAAGCCCACTTATGGCAAAGAAAAGAGGGAGCAAAAGCCCTGAGACAAAGTCCTCAAGCTTCTCAATTAGAGTCACCCCAAGTGGTCCATTTGGAATAACCAACCCAAATACAAAAGCCCCAAAAACTGAGTGTGTTCCAATGGCATCTGTAACAAACCCTGAGATCATAACCCCTGTGAGAATCAAACAGATGTAGAACTCACTGATACTTTCTCCTTCTGGGGTTCTTCGAATCATCCATGAGATGGTCGGTCGAACGATGAAGATGCAAAACAGAACAAAGCTTGCACTTGAGAGTACAACCCATAAAGAAGCCAAAGATGAGGAATCATTCTCAGATAAGGCTATGGCTAAAGCTAAGAGAACCCAGGCACACATATCATTAAAAAGGGCAGAAGCCATAGCAATCCTTCCTAGCTCTGAATTAATCAGTTTAAGCTCTGCAAGGACTCTAGCAAGCACTGGGAAAGCAGTCACAGAGAGGGCAACACCAAGAAACATAATGTAAGTGCCCAAGTTCATGTCTTTTTCCCACTTTTCATGCATCTGGTTTGAAAATGCAGCTCCTATTCCAAATGGAAGAATCATTCCAGCCAAAGCTATGGCCATTGCCTTCTTCCCAGTTCGACGAACCACTGAGAGATCCATCTCCACACCAACCAAAAACAGAAAGTAGAGAAGCCCCACGTTCGCCATTGTTTCAAGCACCATTACACTTCTTAAAGGAAACATGGCGTTGGCAAATTTAGCGTTCCTCCCCAGTACCGAAGGCCCCAGAATCACTCCACCCTATTAACACAGAGAAGAGAAACCAAATGTCATCAATGGTAGAGTACAGAGGAATTGTAATTATACTTCAACCCTGTTTTTGTGCTACAAACAAAAGTGAACTATCATTAATAGATATCGATCAATTATATTAATTTGCAGGCTCACCAAAATTTCAGAGATGACTCGAGGTTGGCGAAAGGGTTTCAAGAGGAAAACGAGAGTGCGAGTCAAGACGACTACCATTGTTAACTGCAAGATGAAGAGGGGGAGAGAATAATCCAAAGGGTTATCGCCCTGCCACACCCCATTTGTAGTGATCATGGTTGGAGCATAGCAGACGATTGTATCGTCTGTGGAATTGGATGCCGACTCTTGCCCGTCCATTCCTTCTTCTTCGTCTTCGTATTCGTCTTCCGGGTTCCTTTTATTTGCTAATCACCTCTCTCTTGCAGGAAAAGCCACCATTAACACCGGTGGTGGCTGAAGAAAATGAGTTCATGAATTGTAAGTTTTGAAGATTTCATTTGGTTTGTGCATTTTCTTTTTTCAGCGAGGGGAAGAAAACAGAACCAGAGATGCTGAGGTAATATTTGTATTTGAGAAAAAGTGGTTGGAGATCTGTGGTCAAAGATGGATTGACTGTTTCTTTTTCTTTTACCTCATATTCTTGGTGGTTTCAAAAGGGACGAAGGCTTGTGAACATGCTATTTCAGGCCATTAACAATATTAACCTCCTGTTAGGTATCTGGATGGATTTTGGCATTTTGAGTTGGGTTATTACTTGACACCCAATTTCTAAATGGGGATGGAGAGAGGATTTTTTGGATGAGTAGCATGATCAAAAATATTATAAGTATGTATCTTTATAAAAGTAGTTGTAAAATTAGTAGCGTGTATATGGTCGGGTTGGGTCGGGCTAGGGAGTTTTTTTAGATCAATTCAAAAATTTGGATTGGTCGGTTTTTCTACTCGATGGAACCAAATCAAGGGGGCAACCAACCCAATATTTAAGACCATTATTCTTATTTTCTCGTAGTTATTTATTTATCTTCAATGTTTATTTTGACCAATGTTTTTTAAATGTCCGTTTGGTAACGTTCATATTTTTTATTTTTGTTTTTTCATTTTTAATAAAGAAAATTGAATTGCATGGTCCCAAACATCCATGAATTCAAGTATGGTAAACCCTTCTTTTTATTTGTGTTTTGGAACAAAATTTTGTTTTAATTATTTCCAAAATTTCTATACAAATTTGAGAATGTTTCCAAAAAAATGAGAAACAATCGATATAGTTAGTTGTAAAATGCCTAAATTTCTTAAGAAAATTGGAAACAAGAAACGATAACGTTACCAAATGAGTCCTAAACGGCTTACAACCATATGTCATCCCTCGTATAAAATTTAAGGTTATACCGCTTCCACATCTAAATAGATCTTATTGCTACATCTTCGAGATCAGGCTCCTTATCGCGATTTATGTTTATTGCACATACCCTAATCCACTACTCCCTAATATATATCTTGATTAAATTAAAAAAAAAAAAAGACAAACCTTAGTAAATCTACAAACTTGGTGTGCATGTGAAATTTTATAGTTTTATCTTGAAGTATAAAAACATAAAAATTAATTAAATAGTTAAAAATTTTATATAATTGAGCTTTATCTTTCAATGTTTACCTCATTAAGTTTTTGTATTTTCCACATTTATCTTATAAAATCGACGTCTCAACGTATATTTTTCGATTATTTTAAAATTTTTTTTAAAAACACATATTTATGGATATTTCATCATTTTTTGTTCCTCAATATAACGATGCCTAAAAAGAAATAAAATTACTTATGTATTGTAGGTAATCAAAGTATTTTTTTGACTAAATGAGAAAAATATACTGAATGATAAAGAATGTTCAAGTTTTGGTGAGAAAATTTTTTAGAAAAAGAGTAAGAAAAAAACTCTTGTCGTAGGAGATAAATAGTTACAAAATTTTTCGAAACTATAAATATTCTAACTCTTTATATTCTAACCTTTCACATGATTAAATAATAAAAATAACTAAATCTTTTTAAACTTACGGATTAGAATATAGCTTTAATATACAAATTTTGTGCCGACTTGAACTGAGTAGATATGTCTTCACTTTTGAGTTGCTTTAAATAAAAAAAATGAGAGAGATAAATCAAAATAAAAGAAAAATATAGTTCAAAGTGTTGGTAAAAATTGATAGATGATGAAAAATTATAAATCTTTGAGAACTCTAAAACTTTTGAAATTCTATTATTAATTATTATTAACTATACATTAAATATAACAACCTTTTTACCCATTCTAACTGGTTAGATTCTATATTTGTCTTAAAAAAATAAACTTTTTAGATTTATGCTATGGTTGATATTTACTATTTACCATTAATTTGGAATAAAATACCTATTTATATTGGTAGATTATGAAATTTTTTGAAATTCTATTATTAGTTATTATTAATGAAAATAATTAAGTTCTTCCTAACTTAAACAACAACCTTTCAAATATTCTAATTTTTTCGATTCTTTGTTGTCTTAAAAAATAAATTTTTTAGATCCATGCAATTGTTATGGTTGATACTTATTATTTATAATTTACTAATTAATTTACTATTTACCATTAATTTTCTATGACATGTTATGTAAAATTATAAATTAAAAAAAGTTATAATAACCTAAAAATAATTTTTCAATATCTGATAAACAAATTTCTTATCAATTTTGAAGCTATAAGATTGAGTTACCTAATTAAAATTAAAATATGCAAAAGAATTTTTAATAAAAATAACATAATAATTATAGTTATAAAAAATATTAACAAATAAAAATAATAATAATATAGCAATTATAAAATAACAAAAGCTAAATTAAAAACTAAATCAATAGATAGATTGGTCTTGTTAGACAAACATCATTATTTAACTTCATCAAAGTAAAATTATAACTACACAAACTTACAAATCAAGATACAGCTTCGATATATAAATTTCATTCAGACTTGAACGTATCATGTATGTCTTGATCAGTTACTTTCATGATCAGAGAGAACTTTAAAGCAAGAAAATAAGAGACAACAAAAAATAATGAAAAGATGTAGCTTGAGTATTGATGGAAAATGATGGAAGAAAATGTCTATTTATATATGTATTAGATAAAAAAGTTACAAACATTTTGCAATGGTACAACTTTTGAAATTCTATTATTTATTATTATTAGTAAAAATAATTAAACTTTCATAAATTAAATAACAATCTTTTACATATTTCAACTTTTTGGATTCCATTTAATTATTATGGTTTATAATTAAGTGACTATTGATAATTAATTAATTTATTTATTTACAATTCATTTTCAATGACATGCTTGGTAAATTTATAAATTAAATGAAGGGTATAATAATCTAAAAATGTTTTTATAAGATTCTCCCTTATTTTAATATAGTTTTTTTTAATAAAAGGAAATGCTTTTATTAAACTCAAGATGCCATAAAGGCTACAAAATTTTTCCTATCAGCTTCAGCGCACTGACAAACGAGGGAGGGAAATCAGACAGCCAAAGACACGCGTGCCCAAACCTTAATGCTTCTCTTGCAAGCGAGTGTGCCCCTTCGTTGGATTCCTAAAAATATAGTGAAAAGAAATCGAGCAGAAAATAACTATACATTTATATTATGTAGACACCGTATTTGGTCCGGCTTCATTTTAATTTTAATTTTTACTATTTAATTTTTGTTTTATTAAGTTTTGTTTTGATTATTTTGGTTTAAAATACTATAAGGTTATAAGCTAAAGTTAAAATTAAATTAAAAAAATAGATTTTGTTTTAAAGAATTTGATTTATTATTAAAGTAAAAGAAATAAAAAGATTTGATTTTAAATAAAGAATTTTGTTTTAAATAAAGGTTTTTTAATTAAAAAAATATATTATGTTTTGGTTAAAAATAAGAATTTGGTTTCTCCTCCCGTTTTTCCTTCGTCATAACTGTCATCCTTCTCTTCTTCTTCTCCCTCCTTTTTTTTCTCTTCTTTTGACTCTTCCTCTTTTACCGTTATTTTTTTTATGTATTAAGGGACAGTGCATACAGTGCATGGCAGAGAGTTAGAAACTCATCACCGTATCTTCTTCTCTCCATCTCTCTTATCCCACCATCACCACTTTTCTCCTTCATACCCATGACCTCCGACGATGCAAGGGAACAACACGAACGACAGTAGCAACAACCTTCTTCACAGCTTCTTCCAAGCCCGCTGGCGCTCCGACGATATCCTTCCCGATAGTGCGTTTTACGTAAGTATCAAATACGAAAATTGGTTTTGAAAATCATGCTTTTAATTTGAAACAGATTCTTTTGTTTCTATCAAAAGATTCTTTTTTTAAAAAAATGTTTTTTTGAAGAAAAAGTTTTTTTTTTTTACTTTTCTTAAAAGAAAATGCTTTCAGTAAGAAACTTTTTTTTAAGATAAAAAAAATCTTCTAAATTAATTTTAAATGAGTTTTTTGAAAATAAAATAAGGATTTTGATATTTTAAATGTTGTTTTAAAATAAAAGATCTTCTTTTTCTAATAAAGAAGAGTTTTTTTAAATGAAATAAATATAAATTTTATTTTATTTTAATAAAATATTTTACTTTAAAATTTTGGTTAAAATACGTTGAAAAAAAAATAGGAGTGTTATAAAATAAATCTTGTTTAAAAAAATTTGGATTCTTTTAAATTTGGATTCAAAGTTTAAGAGATAAAAACAAATATTCTGCTACAGGATTTAAAAAAAAAGTAGGAGATAAAAACGGAGTATTTTAGAATAAAATCTCATTGTTTTTTAAAAAAATTCCTTTTAATGGTTTGGTGGTCATGAGTTTCAAAAAAAATCTTAACAAAAAAATCAGTTTTAGCAAATAATTTTTGTTAAAAGTAAATTTGACTTTATTTTTAAATAAAAGTTTTCTTTTTTTTAAATAATCTTGTTAATTTCGAAATAAATAAAAAAAGTTATTTATTTTTGTTTTAATTGAACAAATTCGTAGGTTTTTTTTAGTTTAAAAAAATAAATTAGAACCTTTGTTAATGGCAAAGGTTTGGTTTTTTAATGAACATGACCCAAGTTCGAGTCTTTGCATGTTTCATGTTATTTTTACTAAATAATTATTTTAAATAAAAGATTTCCTTTAGAGTTTTTTTTAAACAAAATTCAAAATACAAAATTTGTATTTTAAAACGGAACATAGATTATATCCTGAGGTGGTGGCACCTTGGGTTGGAGTGTCATCACTCATGTCGCAAGTTCAACGTCGGCCGCTCCGCGTCGCGATGACGTTGCGACATATTATATTGATATAATATTTCTTTTTTGAGAATATATTGATATAGTATTTAATATAATATAGATGTATAGTTATTGATATATATGTGTATTTTGCAAATACGTTTTAGGTTCTAACTTTGTAAAATTTATTTCTGTTGTGCAAGATTTGTAGTTATTTAAGCTCCCTTGCAAATCTAATATATATTAAATAAAATAACTCTAAATCTCATTTTGTTCTTGAATTTGAATTTATTTTTATTTTAGTTTAAACTTTGAATTTATTTATTTTAATTTTGAACTTTCAAACGTTCATTTTAATTCATAAACTTTTAAAAAACATCCATAGGATTTGGGAAGGTGGTATTGACACTTTTAGGAGTCGAGGGGCATCGACCATGAGAAAATGTTCATGTCATCCTTTCTTTTCAAGTCAGTTTGCCAGATTCACCCTATTGTAAATCCTAATTATTTTTACATTTAGCAGATTAACGATTATATTAGTACAAGGACTTTTAAAACATTTTTTTTAATCAAAACTAGGGGTTAAATTGGTGCATTTGAAAACTCAAAGACCAACAAAGTGACAAGTGGAAACTTAAAAGAATCAAAAGGATAATTATCTATAATTAAATTATCAGATGAAATAACAATGTATTAATTATCATTATCAAATTCAATC